AGTTACTAGCTAAAGCCCGTGCGGAGAAAAATAATTTTTCTCACGTAAGCGTAGCTTTCACCCCTACTTAATAGACAGAGCACAGTTAGAAGGCTCTAGAAAAAGTTATAGCAACAATGGGGAAACTCATAATCCTTTGCCTCGATCAAAGAAACACAACAAGTGAAGGTCAAAACTGAAACATGTAGATCACACGTTAGTACAACTATTTATTTATAAACCAAATCACAAAAAATGAAAACAAGAAATTCCAACAAACAAGGGATCAAAAACCAAATTAAAACGAACTTATAACTTTCGTTTGCAAAGACAATTAATCGACTATCGGCCTGACTCTCTAAAAAAAAGGTCCCCAGCGGAGTCGCCAAGCTGTCGAAACGATTTTTATACTGGGGCGAGGGGAGCGAGATTTTGGAAAACCGCGTCATTTTTAATTATTCTCTTTTCAATTGAATTTTAATTAAAAACAATGCAATTTTAGAAAATCTCTCGTTTCGAAAAAGTGGAAATTCCTTTATGACAAAATATAAGGTTCGAGGAGCCGCCACAATCTTTGATTAGGGTGTGATTGGACACCCAAAAGCGTTGTCATTTAAATAAAATTAATTTTAATTAAACAACAATTTGAGGCATGCGTTATCAAATGAGTCCGGGAGTCGGTTACGTGCGGGGAAGGATTAGCACCCCCACAGCGCCCTAAATCGGTACCTAGTCGATTAATTATTGTCTTTGCAACGAATTTTACAAGTTCGACTTTAATTTAATTTTTTGATCCCTTAAAACAACAAAATGACGAATTTTATAGTATGAAAAAGAAACAAAGTAAGTTAAATTAAAATTACCAAGTCATTAGAAAGATAAAAAATATTCGATTATTTAAAATATTGAGACCACCTTTAGGTCAGTTCTAAAGACCTTTTCTCAATAAATTTAAATAGCCGAACATTTCTTTTTCTTACACTCTCAAATTTTAAAGTGAATAAATCGAACTTTTAATGTCACTGATGGGATACACTTGTAATTTAAAATCGTCAAAAACAACTTTCCTGTAAGTTAAGAAAAGCCATTCTGACAGTTTTAAATTAAAAGGATATTGCCCTTAATCCGGTTATGTGATTAGATCGAGTTATGCATATGAGGTAACATGCAAAAATTAATTAAATTATGATTAAACTATCATGCAATGTGACATGTGAAAATTATCTACGTGTATATTTTAATTGAAAATTAAAACCATGCGCATTAACACATAATATACAAACATGACTGAAATACAAAGAAGAAAACTTAACATTTCAAACTATAATTTTAAAAATAATTACAACTATTAAACAGAAGGACTAAATACTGAAACATAACTTTAATGACTTAATTACAAATAAAATAATTATTTAGGTAAAAACTAATATATACTATGATAAACCAAAAAGTTGAAATAAAACAACTTAACATTACAAAGGACTAACTAGAATAAACCTAAGCAACTAGGATTAAAAAGGAACATGCAAAAATTAAAAGCCTTAATGTCTAATCAACAGAAAAATAAATACAATTCATGCGGACTACAATTAAAAGACCACAAACTTACAAGACAAAATCAAAAAAACACGGCAATATCAAATTGAGGACTGAAACAAACGTAAATATGAGACCAAATTTAAAAGCATAAAATATTCTATTTAGACTAAAATGGACTAAGCTGAATAATGCATGACTACCTAGGAAATAAACCAACAATTACATGCTGGACCAAAATGTAAATTTCAACAACCGCATGGAAATGTACAAACATATAATAATTCAAAATAACTATGTTCAAGGACTAAGATGAAACATGCAAAACCTTAAAGTCTATATCTAAAGAACAGAAATTAAACACATCAACAGTTTGGACTGAAATGTAATAAACATAAAGCTAGAGAACCAAATTGGAAATTTACAGAATATTGAAGCAAGGGTTAAAACGAAATATCCGAGAACCAGAGGGGGCTGCGGCGTGTTAAACCTCTCCTAGGCATGTGTTCTAAACGGCCCGTTTTGGTCACCGAATATATGATATTAGGGTAAGTTTCTAACCCTAATTTCATTATCTTCTCAGCCTAAACGACCAAAGCCCCCCCCAGCCGTTTCTCTCATCCCCTTTACTCTCCATCGTCTCTCCGCCGCTCACCACCTAAACCAAACCTCCACGCTGCCACTCGCGACGCAGCTCCTAGTGCAACCCTATATGGCTGGCTACCCCAATAGCCCTAGAAACTACGATCACCGCGTACATGCCTAACAAAAAGGGGCCCTTAGCTTTGGTTCGATGAGGCTATGACTCCGTGAGGACTCAAGACTCCCTAAGGTAAAAAACTAACACCTTCCTTACTCTTATTTGATTCTAGTCTTAAAGTCTAAAAACCAACCCTAACCGTTTCCTCTCTCCCCTTGACCGAGACTCTCTCCACCCAGATTCGCGATGACATGGTGTTTACCTTTGAAAGGAGACTACTTTGCTCCGATGGAAGAGGCTTGAGAGCTCTCGAAGGTGAAAATCTTCTTTTTTTCCCTTGTTCACGATTCTTTCAAAATGTTTGTTTTTGTGTTATTTTGATGAAGTGAAATATAAACTGAAAATGGATTTGTGCTCATCGAAAGAGAAAAACAACTCATTTTCATTCGTTCAACAATATTGGGTAAGATCCCGTTACATTGTTTTCCAAACAGAAATTCAAGATGGGAAGTAGAAACCCCTGTTACCCTTTTTCCTCTGTTCGTGCCTTCTTTTTCTTCCCCCTATTCTGTAGAAAAGCCGAACCTCTCCCTGTTGGTTTTTTCGGTTCTGTTCTTGATGGGTAATTTCTCCTTCGTTGATTAAGCCCTTTGTTGTTAATTGTTCCCCGTGATCTCTTCTGCTAATTATTTTTGTTGTCTTTTTCTCATTTGTGCATGGTATGGGCATGAGATGGACTGGGCAGTGGAGTAGGAGCAGCAGGGCACGGGTGATGGGGAACCGAGCTGCTCGTCAGAGTGTTGGCAGGGTGATGTCTATGCAAGCAGGCTTCACGTGGGATGTTGCTGGTCACAGCTGGGCTGAGCCTTGTCTGCTCGTTGTAGTGCTGGCAGGACGTGGTTCACAACTATGTTGGGCGCTCCACGTGGTGGAGCTCGGGTCAGGTTGGTTCGCGCACTGTCTTGGGTTCCTGTGCAGGCTGGTTTGAGGCTCAAGGAGGACTGGGAACCGTTGTGAGCTTCTTCAGTAAAACCCTAATGGGTTTAGTTTTGCAATTGGGCATGTCTGGTCCAGCTTGTTTTAAGTTGATGTAGGCCTGTACCATTAATGATAATATTAGTGCATTTTAATTATTATTTATTTAATTACTTAATACACATATATATATATATAGTAATTACTTATAACAATATAATAATAATAAATTCGAGTTAACTTCGAGTAAGACCCCGGACAAATCGAGTATCTACAAACCGCAGATATGATGTAAGTTTAGATAGAGTTTTTATTCTCAATAATAAACCTTTTTGTGAATCAAATAAAAGATGTAAAATTTAATCACCTATAAATAGAGGGGTAACTTTCGCAACCTTTGTTATTGGGTTCTTTATTTAATTTCTAAGTTTAAATATATTTGTCGGAGAAAAACTATGCTTATCATATTATGTGTATTCATGTCCATTGTTTTGTAAGTAAATTAAAAAGATTTTGTTGGTAGATTCACTTATCAAATTTAGGTGTGCGACTCGAGTTGATCCGGATTAATCAAGACAAAATCTTAAGAACTTGGAAGATAATCAAAAACGGAAATTAAACAAAAAATATTTAAAAATAATGTAAGTGGAAATAAATTGAATTTGGGGGATAAATCTATTGGTCACCTCTTGTATTTGGGTGTTAAAGAGCTAAACTTGGAATGGCAATTTTTGGGTCAAGTGGTACCTCATATTCACCGTTCATGTGCCCACATTCTACTTCCTTAGCTACTTCTCCTTTTAATATATGTTCTCACTTCTTATTCACATACTGTCATACAGTGATACATAGTTGTCCTCTCTCTCTCTCTCTCTCTCTCTCTCTCTCTCGCCACGTTGTACCTCTAAATGACCAGCACGTGGCAAAATCCTCAATTGTTCTCGGTTAAAACGGAATTAGTTGATCAAACAGAATTACTTCTGTTAAGAGGTCCGTCGCTTAAATTAGTTTAGTTGAACAACGGTTAATTTTTTAATATTGAATTAATGGTTAATCCGGTTTAAAATTGATTAATTAATTGAATTAATTGAAAATATAAATATTATATATATTAAATACATATTTAAACTCAAACCTTTCAAGAATTAAGATCTAGCTATTTCTAATCACACTAAACTTATTAAATTATCAAGACCTAATTAAATTTTAGCCTAAATAATATATATATATATATATTAAATTTAAATTAATCTATATTCGGTCACCGACTGAATTAATCAAATTTTGTTTGATTTGGTTAATATTTTAAAAAAAATTAAATTCAATTAACAATTAATAGATTTTTAAATCTCTGTTCGATAGGCATCTAAATTAATCGTTTGAATATTTCTAAATAGTTAAAGGTACGGGCTTGAAGAAACAATGAAGCTGACGCCCAAGTCGGCATACATTTAAGCCCATGATTAGCCTTTGAATAAATGTTTCGACCTTAGTTGGGTTGGGTCCCAAAACAACTGAAAATCCCAACATTTATCACCAAATCCACCTTCCATTATACTCCTCACTGTGTGGAAATTTTCTTCTTTTTAAGCTAAGAAAGTAGGTAATCTTAACAACTCCTTTTCCTTCTTAGAGAGAGCAGAGATTCCAATGTATTACATATTACTCGTTAAATGGAGTTTTTGAAAATTTTAAATTCTCATATAATTTAAATATTTATTTTACTTTTTATTAATAATTTATTTTTATCTTCTAAAATATTATAAGTTCGTTCTCCTAATACAAAATCTTGTATTTGTCTTATGAGTCTTGACAACTTAAAAAAGAGAGGAAGGAAAGTGTCCATTAAAAGAATGTAAAGTAGTGTTAAATTTTCCGGCCAACTTTCTCTTTGGAGACACCTACCAAATCAATGAGAAAACAAGAAGGAAATAAGGATCAAATGAAGAAGCAGAAGAGTGGAAACGAGATGGACAACACCAATGGAGTTATCATAACTGTGTACGTAGAATCATCGCCACTGTCAAAATCCAATCCCGTCAAGAAACTCAAGGCAAACCCTGTTTCCAGAAACCCTAAAAGGGGTCGATGTTATGATCGTCGGGCTCGGCTTTTAGCGTACACTCAAGAACTGAGATCGGCCGATAACGAAGACCAAATTCAATGGACTGAAACGTGTTCAAGGCACAAATCGAAGGCAAGTCTTTCATTTTTATTTTACTTTTGTCAGTCATGTACATCCATGCATGAATGGATAAAGCATGTTATTAGAATTAGGTAAATGTGTAGAATTGTAAGATCATAGTTTTTATAGTTGGAAAATGATACGATGAACAGAATGGAAGTGTCCGATCACTCCAAGAAGAATAGGGATTCGATTTCTGGGGATTTTTCGGAAGACAAAACCTGGATGGAAGTATCAACGTATCCCATCGGAGGAGAATAATGAACGTAAAGTAGAGGGGGGAAAAAGATACTTGGGAGAAGAACTTTGGGTAAAATCATCGTGTATTTGTTCATTTATTTCATTTTCTATTATCCATAGATTATTTTTTTAAAAAAATATGTTTCACAGAACAAACTGAAGCGGGTGTTCAGAGCATTATCTTTTGTTTGGCGACGAAGAAAGGGTTGATGGAAAATGAAGATGATCCTCCAATCGGTAAGGGGGATTGCAGGATTTGCGTCCTTATAAGTCTAAACTGATGCCCATTTTATTCCGCTCTTTACGATCTTTTTGTTGCTCAAACCGTAAAAGAATGTGTAATGATTTTTAAACAGAAAGAATATGAACAATTTTTCTTGAAATATTTATTACTTAAAAAGCCATTTTTTAACTATTTTTTTTTTTTGAAGGATATTCTTTTAAAGAAGGGTGAGCTGTATTGCATGATCAAAAGACAAAATATGAAACAAGACTCTGCATTAGAATGCAGGGGAAAAAACTGCGTCACCATAAGCAAGAAAATATAGCAATACAGAATGTAAGAAACCAGATAGACATCTGAAAATTCACACACACAATGTTATGTGGATCTGAAGATGATCAAGACCCAAATTCTTATTAAAAAAAGGAGAGGGAGAGAAAAACTTAACCCCATTAAATCGAATACAATTCCAGTTGTAATTCTTCTTGCCATCCTAGATGAACCAATTGAAAAGGGTGAAAATTTACTCCACGTAAAATCATCAGTGGACTTCATTCTTTCTTCAAATTATATCCAACGGCCATTATGAGAAGTCAGCACCTTAGTTTTCACCCAAAAATCAAGATAGAATAAAATCATCATGGACCAGGCCCAACTGTGACCCAATCACCTTTGATTTCTTAATTCATAATTTGATTGGTCCAAGCCGTCATTCAAAATTATTGGTTACTTGATTTTATTTATATAAGTAAAATTAAAAATATTTTAATGAAACAAATATGATTTCAAGCCAAGCTCTTCGACTTTTGTCATGGGAGTGAAAAGGAAAAAGCTTCCGACTAGAAATGAAAATTTGTTACATCTGAAAATTAATTCAAATGGAACTTCCACAGAAAAATCTTACCATCTTCACTGATATTTTTTTTAATAAGAAACAAGAATTACCTTAAAATTAAAACTTAATCTCAGTTTCAATTAAAGATTTGATATCAACACTAGAAAAGATGAGCATCGAGTAAACGTTACCTACCAACTTCCAACCAAAGAGTAGTCATATAATAGAAAGAATGTTCGAATTCTTTTTGCTGGAATGCTGCCAAATGAATCCCCCCCCCCAAATGATATTCGATTACAAATTACCTACGATGAAACCTACAGCCACCAGCGACATACTGTCCTACAATTTTTTCATTTACCCGCCGCATCACATCAGTTACAATAAATTTCACCATGTGATCCAGTGGAAAATACATCTTATTCTCAAGTGCGGTTGAGTAAATGTCCAGTCATTGTATAGGTAAACACAAAATTATCTGCTTCCATTACGCCCTCGGCCCAGGGGATCCGCCTTAGTCCTACGGACCCCAGCAGGCGAGAAGGCCTAGATCGAGCTGCTGGGGAAACTGCACGGAAAGCACGGTGCATTTCAAAACCTCTGTCGTCGAATAGGTCATAATCCATGAATCTGCTATGCAACCTAACAGATGAGTCTAGGTGAAGGAAACCATCATCAAAAGAGTCATCTGAATCATTTCGTCTCTGAAGATACCACGAGAGCAGGCTCGAGCACATAATCCCCCAACACCACAGCCCCAGGAGTTGATGACATGATTGTACTGATTACATCATCCTGTGCTCTCTCATTCTCGAGCCTTTTCCATTTCTCTTCAAGTACAGGTCCACTTCTCGAGGTCTTGCCAATGGGTGTTTTGCCTTAACATGTTTTTGAGCTCTTTGTAAGTTCCAACAAAGGAGCACTTGTCTTGCATGCAGGATCTTTTTTCCTATTGAGATATTTCCGTACAGGTTCTACCACCGTCCACCCCTTCACTTGTCCCCGACAGAGTGGGCATAGGAGTTCCGGCACTTCCATCTTTTCAACAGGCTCTCCCACCTGAAACTGTAGTGTAGGCTTTCTCGTATTGCTCAAGGCAATTGGAGAAGCGCCGGCTAGTGGCACACATGTAAGGGCGGCAACCCTTGTCATAAGAGGAACAGAGGAGAGAGAACAGCATTGTGAGGGAACTCTAGACAAACGGAACATTTTGCAGTTCCCCAATCTTTCTTCTCTGAAGCTTTTGAACATTTTTTCTGTTGGGTGCCTTTGCCAGCCTTCTTAGGGTACAAAGGCAATAGATAAGGATTCACCTTTTTTTGACGTGAATCAGACTTTCGCACTTTGCTAACTTTGGCCATTTGCAATTTTACCTAAAGAACGGCAAAGATAGAAAAAGAGATCTGATCCACTTAAAATAAAACTTTTTGTAAAAAAATAATCAGAATAATATGACTAGTACTTTACACCGAGTTAACACCTTGATCCCATACTCCCATTTTCTAACTGGACTATGGAAGAGCCTATAAAACTTTTTCATGCCAGAACACAAAGTGCAGTGCATGCACTTAATGCAGACTTCAAAACTTGCAGAACAACAATAACGATGTTCTGTGTTTTTGGTGCAGAACAACTAAGTAGATGTGAATGGGAAAGTGCATTAGCTTCAGAAAAGAAAGTTCATTGGCAATTGCAACCTTTAGTTTTCAATGTTAGTTATGTGTAAGGAGCTGTCAGTTAGGATTTTGTATAATAATCATACATACTATAGCTTAGGTTATAAACAGGCTAAATCTACCTCTTACATATTTACATCTTATATCAGGCCTTAGGTTAATTGTACATTTGTTTTGTTTTAATACCAAAAAAAAAAGTAGTCTCTCTAGGGAACGAGAGATTATTGTTTAGCATGGGTGAGTATTCTCGGAAAAAATGACACCTAATATACTTAAAATTCACACATCTAAGGCAACAAGAGAGGAATCCGATGCCAAAATTTGAAAAACCAGTATTAGTTGGCCTGTTGACTCAGACTAAGAAGATGAAATACTGTTTGAAAATTCCTGCTATTCCTACTTCACGGGTGGCAAATGTACTGTTCTTGACACCTAACAACTGAAAATGTACACACTTTCAACTAACAGTAAGATCTCTAACTAAAGAAATATGTGATCATTAGGCAGCTAGAAGATATATCTTCAGCACAATCACAATGTTCAGACAATGTAACATCTGGGATCTTTGTTGATAATATGGACAGGTCAGTCAAGAGTATAAAAGAACATGAAATAGATCTTCTAGGCCTGTCAAAATTTGCAGCAACATCCTCATTTGTTCTTAGATGGCATATACCAAAATGTCAATACTATGAAAATCCACATATGCCAGTTCACTGAAGTCAAGTTTGGGAACATAGAACTCAAAAATAGCATAAGTTGGGTGATAGAACACTTTTAAATGTAACATTCATGATTACAAATGAAATCCAAATCTAAATATTCAAATTCAAGTTTCTTAACAGAAGTAGAGCATCACACTATCAGAGACCAAATTCACTGTTGGAGGATGACATATGATGTTTGAAATTATTAATACTACCACTAAAATCAAAGACGCTCCAGAAATTTAAGCAAAAGCAAAAATTTATTTGTGTGACCAAGTTAGCATCTTCATATGTTTTCTGTGACATAACTGAATATTCATGACCTATAATGAGGCAAATAATAAGAAAAGACCCAACAGAAAGTCACAAGTACAACTAAGAATATGCTGCACAAATCACCTCCAGAGAACTGTTTCAAAGTGGAAACACCCTTGCTAACTGGAAATAGAAAAAGGGGCCAAGTTTACAAGTAAAATGGTGTCAAGCACGATATGGAAGTGCATAAAGTTTAAAATTCATTTCCACTTACTATTCTTCTACCGTTACACATTTAGCACCCTTCCCTTTCCCTACCCCCAGGCTATCCTAACCCACCCCATAGCATAAATTGGATGGCAGCCATCAGATCAAGAAACGGTCCATCCGTTTGAAGCCTTGACCTCTTGGTGAGTTTGCATCGAACTCACCAAAGAATTGTTGGTAGCAAGTACATTCTACCTGCATGGTATCTTTACAAATATCTGGAAACCACAGTCAAATTACATCCTAAAACTTTACTTCGAAATTACAACTATCAAGGACATTTATCATTTTTGATGGAATTCCTAATATAGATTATGACGAAGCTAGTATAATTTAAGGAAAAGTTTAAATGAAAGAACATAAGACAAAATAATTCTACAATTTTTATATAAAAGAAGTAAAAAGCCTGCTCAAGAGAGCTAATAAGTAAGAAATCGCTAACCAATTAATTCAGTCTTTAAAATCTACATCCATCCAATAAAAAAACCATTCCTTATTTTAAAAAGTTTCCAATCAAAGTAGCATAAAATGCCACTTCTAAATAAAGCTTTAAACTATGGTACATTTTCTAAAAATATTTAATTGTAAACATGCTTTAACTGCAAACTTCTAAAACATGCTTGAAGCACACAGACAGTCCACCATGTTTATTATTATAAAGCATTTTAGCTTGCAATGAAAAGCATTATCATGAGAAATTAAATATTCCAAAATTAATAATAAACCAAAGCTATCTTAACAAGTAAAACTGTAAAAAGAACCCTTCTAAAATCAATAAGCAACATGCAATCACATATAATTGATTGATCTCTCTTTATAAATAAAGATAGTATGAAACAAAGGAAGAGGCAAAAAACTTAACTTTATAATATACACCATCCCATCATCCTATTGACCAGATAGAACATAAATATTTTAGGAAAAAGAAAAAGTGAAAAAAATAATACTGGAATTAAAAATGTACACCATACTATGATTATATTTAAAACAATCCTTAAAAAAACCTAAAAGAAAAATGTATAATATACAAAATTAAATATTTACATTTAATTTATTTATTAGTTTTTACCAAAGTTTTGCCTTTTATTGTTGCTTGTACATTATATCAAATATATAGAAGAATGAACTATTTAGCACCAGCAAATCAATGTTTGGAGGGTAAACTCTATCCTTTGAAATGCAACAGCAAGAACTATTCAAATCATTTCTCATTACTCTTAGAAAAAACCTGAAGTGCAACTCTATAATTGTTGAAAGCATATACTTTTTCAATTTTCCTCCAATCAAATGAAGGTTTTCTATTCAGCATTTAGCTTGCAAAATTCCAATAACTAATTAGAATAGTTTACATAAAATATTTTTTTTTTAAAGAAAAGAATAAGACATGTACAAAGAAATTCCAAAATGAAAATGAACATAATTTTAAAAAAAAAAAATCTTAAAGAAACAACGGCTATAACACCAAATAGTTATCAACATTTTTTTTACTAAATACAAATATATATGAGGCAAATCTGCCTACACTGTTGTAAAATTATATTAGTTTTACACACTTATATCTAACTATTTATTCGAGACAAAACTTTCCACCATTAAACATATTGGGGGGAAATCTTATAGATATACAAATTTGAAATTCTAAGTGCACGAATTCGATTCTGAGTCAAAAACATATAAATTCCATTCGAGTCAAATGAAAGCTTCTAAAATTAATTAATTCAGCTTTACACAAACCTAATAGATGTTCGTATATATCCCAGACACAATCAAAAGGGGGAATAGGTAAAGCTGATCAAATTATATATATAAAAGAGCAAAGAAATCAACCAAGATTTAAACCCTAGGATAAAACATTAAAATTGTAAAGCGCAACCAGAAGATTGAAAAAATGCAAACATCTTCCAAAAGTAAATACATCGAAATTGAAAAAAAATAATAATCAGATTGAATGAGCGATAAAGATCTACGTAAGATGGAAGGGAATAGGAATCAAGCATACCTCGATCTGAGACCGTGGATTTGAATGTTTTGAAGACAAGCGGGGGGAAAGAGAGTTTTGGGAGAGGGGATATCAAAAAATTGGGATAAAGGGAGGAAGGAAGGAAGCGGAAGTTTATGGAAGGAGAGAGATACCGCTAGCGTAGAAAGCCGATGTCTCCTTTTCCCTACTGCTTCAGTTGCTTCTGCCGCTGTACAAACAAGGATTTTAGAATTACCCTCTTTTCGTTTCTTATTTAGTGGTTTTTTTTAAACTTGCCTAATTAAATATTATTGTTATTATTATTTAAGGATTTTTTTTACAAAACTTAAAAAAACATTGCATTAAAACAGTTTTTTATATTAAACTCATGTTTTTTTATTACCATAATGATTTTTTTATCCTTAAAAATATTGAACTTTTTGTTTTGATTAAGAGAGATGTTTGAAAAATCACAAAATGATTGGATTTACATAAATTATGTGTCATTACCTAGGGATGTTATCTCTTAATTAAGTGTAATTAGGGGTTGTTTGTTTAATTTAATTAAGCGCTGAATGATTCAAATGATGAATGATTCAGAGACTCTGTATGAATTAACTCTGAATGTGACATGTTGTTTGATAATGACTTTAAATCATTCAGAAGTACTTCTGTGTTGAATCATTCAGCACTGTTTTGTTGAATCAGTCAGCATTGAATCATTCAGAGGTACGAAAAAAACGCGCTGAATGTTGAACGATTCAACATTTAGCGTTGAATGATTCCATTAAGAGGCAAACAAACAACCCCTATTCTAATTACATAAATGATAAATAAAAGGTAAATTACACAATTTCTTATTGAACTGTATTATTCTCCTATTTTATTCTCTGTACTTTTAATTTTTTTTTAATTTACTCGCTAATTTACAAATTGCTCATATTTTAATCTTCTGAATTATTTATTATTATTATGTATGACATGGTTTTTATTATTATTAATAAAAAATAAAAATATAAAATAAAATTAAGGTGATCAGACGCTACCGCCATCATCGTCGGCTGCCGTAGATGGTGGTGATTCGATCCCAAATTTCATGGGTCGCTTCGTCTCGACACCCCGAGTCAAAAAACATCTTCCATTTTGTCAGAACTTACTCTGAAGTCCACGAATTGGATATCGAAGTGAGGAAGTCAAAATGTTTCAGTCGAGATTCATGGGTTTTGGGATATTTATGGAAAAACACATCATATTCGGACTCAACGAGACGAAGCGACCCATGAAATTTGAGACCGAACGACCACCATCTACGGTTGACGGTGACGTCGACTACCTTATGTTTTATTTTATATTTTCAATTATTTTATATTTAATAATAATAGAATGTCATGTCATACATAAATAATAGTAAAATAATTAAGAGTAATCAAAATAGGAACAATTCAAAAGTTCAAAGAGTAAAATTAAAAAAATAAAGTATGTTACATAAAATAGGTGAGAGATATAATCCAGTGAGGAATATATATTTACCCTAAACTAAAATATATGATGACAGATGATATATTAAAACATTAATGAAATGAATTCTTCTGAATTAAGTGTAATTAAAATATTCTAATTATATAAATGGTAAATAAATTAAAAACACATGATGACTGATTATATATTTAGACATAATTATATATAAAGATTGTTGATTAGAACGATTAATTTTAAGAAATTATTACAATGAATGTTAAAAGTGACCATTAATTTATGTCGATCAATGTATTTTATTTTGCAAGAGAAAATTAAGTATGCAGAAATTTATAGGATTTGAAAATAACATCATTTTAATAGTTTTGGATGTTTACAACGTATGATTTGCTTTGATATTTCTTAACCACTGATAACATATATGTCCTACAATCATAATTGGTTGTGTTCGAGACCCCCAATAAAAAATAATAATTTCATTAACTACTAATACCATTTAATTTCATTAACAATAGCCGTGGATTGGTTGGATCAAAGGAAGTTATACCATGGATTGTTAGGAATAATGATGGTACGATGACAATTGATAGCGTCCTTAGGTTAAATCAAGGACGCAACATCGTAATTTGTTCATTTTTATGGCATTGGCAAAGTTGTGTTATGCACAATGTCTTGTATGTCTGGAAATTAGGTTATAAGAGGATTGTGATTCAAACTAATAAGTAAGTATTTGAATAAGATCGGAGTTGAAATTGGGGTTTTCGATTTATTGAGTATAGTAAATATGTAACATTTAGGGTAAATTAGATATTTAGTACTTCACTATTACTTTTATTCCGTTTTTGTCATCTAAATATTTTTTTTCAAATGTACGTTTAATGTATGTTTTGTTTCATTTTTGTAACAATGACAACTGGATTTCATTATAAAAGTAATGAAATGAATCAAAATTACAATGTACTCAAACATATAGAAAAATGGGGATAATAGTCACACAAAAACCCATACATGAAACAAAATATAATTCAAAGATACGAAAAAATGAAACATTACATTGAGAATGACGTTCAACATCAAAAGACCTAAAACTTTCATAAAACTCCTTGTGTCTGTCGAACGAGATGCTTTACAAAGTGATAAAGGAGTGGTAAGCGAACCAAATATTTGACATTTTGTTTTGCTACACAATTTTGATTATATTGACAAACAACCTTACCAAAGAGATGATCTGACAATACATGATCACCAACAACCAATCAAAAACAAATGTCATTATGATCTTTGTGTGAGCATCAACACGGTCGCAAAGGTATGCGAAAAACGTACCAAAAGCATAAGGAACGGTCATAAGAGCATAGAAAATGTCACAAGGACAAATTCTTATTAAAATTGAAAAAAAAACTCAAGACAAAAAACAAAGGACATAGTACGAAAAAGAACAAGAAAAATAATATCACTGGCGGTCGACAACTAATATTAAAATTGGTGTCGCCGCCGGCTAAAAAAATAAAAAAGAAATAAGAAGACACACAAAAATTTCAGAGAAAACTTAACAAAACTATTGACGGACATATTACGGTGACACATTACCATTAATTTATTAACGACGAATAACCAAAATGAAACTAAAATAAATGTTAGATATGATTTTGAAAAAAAAGGTGTCTAAACCAACAAAAATGATAATTGAGATACTAACTTGTAGTTACCCTAATATTTATATGCATTTGGCTTAATCATCAAGTCATTAAGAAGATCAATATCCATCTCTTACTATATTATTTAAAATATAAATTAAACAAACATAAGCATGCGAAACAATCCAACCCAATCAAATGGATATTTATTAATATTTTTGCCTACAATCCATATTTATTGAAAATATGTAGCATAGTTTATACTCAAAAAGTGAAAACAAATCCCACCAAACCTAATTTGCCACCAATAATTCATTGAAGTTATCAATTGGGGCAAGCATAATTAGGCAAGATTTCATTTGAAGATTAAGATAAAGTTATTTAATTTATTAAATAAAAACTCATTATTAAGCAATGCAATCGAACTTGAATATGCGTATTAATATATAATTAATCACTTAAAAACATTATATAATAAAATACTAGTAAACATTTAATTTAAAAAATAAAAAATTTTAGGAGTCAAGGAAAACAAGTTGAAAAACTAATAAAATTTAGAGATCAATTTGAATGAATTGATAAATACAAGGATTAAAATTTGCTTTAAAAAACAAATTTTTAATTTTTGGAAGAGCTGTTCTTCACGTTTCGTACCAAAAAGGGAAAAGAAAAGAAAGAAAAAACTAACAGAAAATAGTCGTCGTCTCCTCTCATCTTCAAAGCGGAACTATTTTTTTTTTTTGTTGGCCAAATAAAATCTGCATTTTATTTATTCAGAGCTATCCATCCACCTCTATATCTATCTTCTTATCGTTTCTCTATTAGCTTGACTTCCATTTCTTCTTTTCTTTCACTGAACTTTCTCTCTTTTTTCTTCGTCCCCGAAAAAAAACAGAGAAACGCATTGTTCAGATTGGGGGAGGGTAAATTTAGAAAAAGTTTAGGTTTTTGAGGTATTAATAACGGGGATAGGATTAGTACTGTGCTTTTCTTCCGTCTTCCTTCTTGTTATTTATACAGAAAATTTCCCCCATTTTTCTTGTTACATTTGAGTTTCGATCGTTAGTTCGGACATAATCAAAATTTAGGGTTGTTTGTTTCTTGATCAATTGGTTAGGAAGTGTTCTTCTGCCTAAGTTATTGATTTTGAAGGGGGTTTCGTTCTTTTTTCTTTAGTTTGGAATACGAGGGTCATTTGAGACTGGAAAACCAGCAATCTTCAACGGAATAGTTGATTAAATATTGGCCTTACCGCCATTACCTATATTGTGTTGATATGGCTTCACTATTGTTAAAAAATCTGTTACTTTTGGTCAAATAATTCCTTTCAGTTTTTGAATTACCATTGAATCCATAAATGACTGGCATACCTTATTTTTGGTAGTTTGGATGACCAGGGATAAGTCTAGGGATTCTTTGTGGGAAGAAAAATCGATTTGGTGAGTCAGGGTTTGAAGAAGGTTGTGGAAATAGTTATTTTTCCCCTTTTATTTGTCTGATGATCCTGTTCAGTATCCCTATGGAAAGAAGTGAACCGGCATTATTAGTTCCAGAATGGTTGAGAACTACTGGCACTGTTCCGGGGGCGGCAATTCAACCCCCCACTTTGCTTCCTCCTCTTCTAACTCAGGTATCCATACACCAATTTTAAATACCATTGCTTTCTCATTCCGTTTATACCTGATTACATCACTATTGGTCATGTATATGTTTGTTAGACACATCTTCGGCATGCCTATTTTCTATGCCCGGTGTATTTCTTGTTGCATTTATATATTCCATTTTAGTTATCGATTTAGGAATGTTTGTACTCTGTATATCATTTTTAGGAATATATAAATATTAAATGCATCCTTGTTGTTGTCTTAGATGCTTCTTACTTGGTGCATCATGGAGACACAGAAACTCCAGGAATATAAGTGATTTTGATTTCCCTCGTTCAGCATTTTTGGATCGGTCATCTTCACTGAATTCAAGGAGTATAGCAATGGCTTTGTGAAGCATGCTTATAGTGCCTTTAGCATGTCTCGCCATGATAAGGATGAGAAAGAGATAAAGAGAGATCGAGCTTTGGAAACCATTGGGCCCGTGATTCTTCTGACTGTTTAGAAAGTTTCTTAGCCAGTAGGGTTGAGAAATTAGGAGGTATATCAACCAGTAGGGTTGAGATAGATAGACTGCAGCTTTCTCATTCTATGTCTACAGGAAACGGGTGAGCCTTTTCCTCGAAGGATTGCTGTGGACTCAAGAGATGGTGGTAATAGTACCATTACACGGCAGTGGTCTGCTTTCTGGGGTTACTTTTGGGAGTAGAATCAACGAGGCTGCATTTGAGAAAGATTTTCCCTCACTTGGAACTGAAGAGAGGCAGGGTGCCAGAGATAGCTAGAGTTTCCTCTCCTGGTTTTAGCTCTGCTTCTCAGAGTTTGCCTGTTGGTAATTTAGCTTTGATGGGGCGGAGATGTGCCCTGGCAGTGGCACAGGCTCCTTGCCTGTTCTAACTTCTACCTCAGGTTCTGGGTCTCCAGTCTCTCAGCTGGTCTTAATATGGCTGAAGCACTAGCACAAGCTCCTTCACGAACCCGTACTTCTCCCCAGGTAACAAGCTCATTCACTTAGTTCTTATTACGCACATAACTTGTATCTGCAATCTATCTACAGACATTTTTATTCATACAGTTATCTGTCAAGATTCAAAGATGCGAGGAACTGGCTATTAAGCAATCAAGGCAACTAATACCAGTAACATCTTCAATGCCTAAGGGTTTGGTAAGCCTGTTGCATTAGCTTTCAGCAGTATTGTATTTTAGTGCGTTAAATTGTAGTTTTAATAATAATAAACAAGTTTTTTCCCCCTCCCTCTCCCATATATCTTTTGTAGGTCATATTTGTAGTTTAGAGGTTGTATGCTGAATGTAATGCCTGTCTATCCGTGTTTTAAGTATTACATATTACTTGAAAGCTTTATGTCTTTTTACTGGATGGTATTCTTTTTCCAGTCAAATTGTTGAAAGGGAAACATAACTAAGATTTGGTCAAAAAAAAACATATGTGTGTTCTTGTAGTTTATCATGCTAATTTAGATTGACTTGATGACGATAATATAGTTATTTGGTTGGAGCCTTGGAGGTGCATTATGCTCACCATTTTTGTCATTTTTGATTTGCTATACATATCTCATGTTCTGTTTCTTTTTTATTTTCATCCGTTAGAAGATATACTGCTCTTTCTTTGAAGTTTTTACTTATCTGGGGAGCTTGAGTGTCAGTCATCTCATATGAGTCAGGTGCCTCTATAGGATTCTAGATTAAGTCTTAAGAAAATGTAAATTTATGTTCTTTATTTGATGTCGATGCCTGTAGGAATCTAGGTATAAAGCTATATCTTCTTTCTTGTTCTTTAGATCTCCGGCAACTTTTAAACACAAATATAACTCACTTGTAATCTCTTAGTTCTACTTAATTCTCTATAAAGGTTCAGGTTTTTCCCATTTAACTCTAAATTGCAGCCTCCGAAATTGGTCTTGCTTTCCTATCCCCTCCTAAATCAAAATCTTTTGCACTCATTTATAAAAATATCCTTCAACTCTTTTGGGCTACAGGTTAATGTTATTTTTGTAGTTTGAACTTAGAACTTTGGCAACTACCTTGGCCTTTTTCTTAACCTTTTTTATTGATTCCTATGATGTGTAAGGAGAACTGAGTTGGTCTATGTTTTTGTCCCAGGTTCTGAATTCAGTGGATAAATCAAAAGCCAAACCAGCCGTCAAAACAAGTGACATGAGTATAACTATAAAGAGTGGAAAACAACAATACAGTAATCAATCTTTCCACAGTGGACGTGTAAAGTCTGATACGGCAAAGACAACTGGAAAGCTTTTGGTTCTCAAACCAGGATGGGAGAATGGGGCCTCATCCCTTTCTCAAAAAGATGTTGCTAGTCCAACGAAAAATGCCAACAGAAAAGTTGCCACTAGCCAACACGCTGTTGCTGCTGTTACATCTGCTTCTGCTAGAAACTCAAACCCCCCAAAGTTTTCTGCTGGGGAACGCAAGGCAGCTACCATGAATCCAATATCTGGGTTCACTGTGGAAAAGAGACCTTCCTTGGCTCAAACCCAGAGCCGAAATGATTTTTTTAATCTCCTGAAGAAGAAGACCTCAATAAACACTTCAGCTGGTCTCTCAGATTCAGATCCTCATATTTCATCTTCCACCATACTGAAATCTGAAGTCTCAAATGAGGCAGCCAGTGCATCAGCACCTGCTCATGGTAATGAGAATTGTACTGCAGCAACTAACAACAATGGCACATGTCAAGATGCTAAAGGATTTTCTGATGATGGTGAAAAGGATATGATCTCCTTTGCTATGGTTTATCCAGATGAAGAAGAGGCTGCATTTCTTCGTTCTCTTGGCTGGGAAGAAAACTCTGGTGAGGATGAAGGCCTTACAGAAGAGGAGATCAATGCTTTTTGTAAGGAGGTAAGATATATCTTTTCTTTCTTTCTTTTTTGCTGTACTTTCCCTTAACAAATGTAACAAATTTAATCAATGAATTTTCACCGAAGTCAACTTGATTCTTAGTGTCTCTAATGAAACTTGAATTTCAGCACACAATGATATGGAGGTGATCAACTAATCATGCTCCATCTATTGGATGGTAAATGGAATGGGATATGTTATTTTATTTACAGACATTGAACACTTAAGAAGATTTGGTACATTTATAATACCTTTATCTGCAAGCTGATTCCATGGCTAATCATCATCTTTCTCATCGTTCAAACCCTACCCCCTACCCCAATTATCTTTCTCATTGTTTGAAAGCAGTGCATTTTACAAAAAAAGATGCAAATTAACAACTCTAAAGAGAATTTTGCTATACTATTCGCTAATTTTATATATTTTCTTGTTTTTATTTTGCAGTACATGAAGCTCAGGCCGTCTCTGAAACAGTGTAGCAGCATTCTCCCAAAGCTGGCTCAATCTTTTGCAACTAATCTAGATGGGCCTTCTTCTGAATCAAGCTCGACTAGGTCCGGGAGCTTGACTTTCTTTATCCCTACATAATAAATCCAAAGAATTTCCAGATTTGATGGCTGATCTTTTGGATTTTTCCCCTTTTTCTCCTCACTTGGATATTTCCTTCTGATGAAATAGCTGCCGAGTGGGGAATGCAAAAAAAAAAAAGGGGGTGGGTTGGTGTTTTCTTCCTTTCAAGAGGGTTCAATTTTACAAGATAGAGATTATTGGTGTTTTTGATCAATTTTACATATAAGAAAAGAAAAATAAAATTAAAGTTGCATTTTTCGTTCAGCAGTACACACATGTGTATTTTTCATGGTTATCCTTTCATTTTTTTTCGCCCATGTTTTCCATACGAGAGCAAGTAGTTATCCGTGATAAAAATAAAATAAAGGAAACGCTAGTGGGGATCCATTCTAAAAGCTTCAAGACCCGCACTTCCTTCAGGAACTTGTGCTGTGCGATGTCTAAAAAACGGTTAAAAAATAAAATGATCTGTTAAACAAGTGATCAGTTAAAATTTAGATCGGTTATGTTATATCATTTAATCAGGAATATCATCAAGTACAATAATATATTAGGTAGCGTTTATATAATGTAATAGGTAGCGTTTATATTGACCTTTTTTCTAACTAAACAGGTAAATTTAAACCGGTAACATTGCAAATTTACCTATTACATTATAGTTATCGGCTTTGATGTTTTTGGGATTGATACAAATTTAAATGTATCGACACTTTATGTGTGCACCTCGTTGTGCTTTCATTTTGGGAAAAAAGTATCAACACATATTTAAAGAGTGTCGATACATAATGTAAACCTATTTGTTAATTAACCAGTATATTTTTACCTGTTACATTGTAAATTTACTTGTTTCTGGGTTTTTGTTCTTTGAGAAATTGATAACATGGTGGATTTTTCAATGTTATTCTTTTGTTACTGCAAAGTTTTTGTTCTTTTCTTACTGGGTTTTGCTTAAAATATCTAACTTTTTATATTAAAAAATAAAAATTCTGAAATAAAAATGACCACACAAGCACACTCTTTTACTACCGGTTTTGTCATTTCGAGACCGAGTTTATCATATTTTTACATTTTATATTGTTATGGATCGATACATTTTTATAAAGTATCGACACTTTATTGACACTATAACTTCTTTTCTTTTAAATTTCAAAAGTGTCGATACTTATAATAAAGTACCGACACTTTCAACATATCCGGTAGCTCTTTACCGGTTTTGTCATTTCGAGACCGGTTTTGTCATATTTTTACATGTTATATTGTTATGGATCGATACATTTTATAAAGTATCGACACTTTATTAGCGCTATAACTTCTTCTCTTTTAAATTCCAAAAGTGTCGATATTTATAATAAAGTATCGACACTATCAACATATCCGGTAGCGCTTTACCTGTTTTGTCATTTATAGACCGGTTTTGTTATTTTTTACATGTTATATTGTTATCGATCTATATATTTTTATAAAGTATCGACACAAACCGACAAGCTAAGTTTGCCGGTTACCAAATTTTTTAATATTTCTTCATGATTTCCACCTATTACATTATTATTACTCGATATTTTCGATAACGCTAAACTGAATTTATCAAATATCTTTTAATGTATTCAATAACGCTGTATATTAGTCCGCCTTTCATGAGACAATCCTCACTTTCTTTGCAAAGATATATATTTTAAATTCAACTATCATGCCAGTGCCACTGCGCCAGTCATTTTCCAAACCGATGCAGTGCCTAGTTCTCTCTCGGGAACATATGTCCTTAAAAAAATCATTGGAAAGGTGAATTGAGAATTAGGTAGTCCTTTTTTCAAGTTAGTTATAAATCTAGGGTTTAATCTAATTGATTATCATTATGACATTACCCAAATTTAGATTTGAATCTCAATATAAACTTTTATCTTTTAAATCTAATGAGATTGATCTTGTTTGTAAAAAGAAAAAAAATCAATTTATATATTTATAGATTTCTTCAATTTAATTGTTTTAAATCTTTTAATTATATTATTTGAAAAACAAAAGATTAAAATTGAACAAATTAAAATACAAGAGTTAAATCAACACTTGATAATTTATAGATAATACAGAGATTAATAATGACAGAATTTGACTAAAAAACATATAAACTTCAAAACTGTGCACAAGGAATTGTACAACACTAAAATGTGGATAAAACATTTAGGGCTTATATAATAACATAGGCATGGGTACATTACACAAACTGCCAAACTTTATATAACATATTAGTTATTTTATTTTAACATGAATCATATGAGCAGAGTCTAGATTCAAAATTTTCTTTGTTATTGTAACTTACTAATACTAAAACGTCATAATTGTATTTTGAATCTCTGAATGGCAAATCAGATCGTGAAGAGGTTGGTATAAGCAATTCAAAACAAAAAAAATGGTTTCTGTTAAAAGGGGGCATTCATAAGAACTGACAAAGGAAAAACATAACAATAAATGGCATTTGTCAAGCTATGTTTCGTGGTTGAAATCATAAATTTCAAAAGAGCAGGATGAATCTTAGTCTTCCCAGACAAGATGGTTACTATAGGGTACAATATTTAATACGGAGAAAAATCCTTTCTAATTCCACCATCGAATAATTAAAACGACACATGATACCTGCTTATAAGGTTGAAGACACTTGTGGATCCAAGCTACAATGCCGATCGGTTATTCTGAGTGAGAAGTCCAATATATAAGTCCGCTGCAGTAGAAGATTCAGTAACAAAATAAATAGAGATGGTGGCAGAATAGCAACGCTACACGTTTAATAAATGACAATGAAATTAGAGAACATCTTAGGTATGGCATTTCGTGTATCGTTCTCATAAAGGCACATAACCATAAGATGGGTATTCATCTTTAATATGAAACAATTATACAAAGCTAGCCTTAAACACATGGATGACGGTCATAATTATAAATATGTAATAACATTCACCTGATTAACACGAACACACACTGTAAGACACCTGCAGTACCAGTCCAGACTGAAGGACCAGATTTCACTACCGAGTCTTGTATCAACAGGCCCACTGAAGCAGACAGAGAGACAAAGGAGACAACGTAAGCAAGGAAAAGCCATAGCTTCAACCTGTTGCAATGAAAGATTATCATGCATTAGCCAAAACAAGCAACGAAAAGAGTGTTGAGTTGTCACTCTAGTAAAAAGAAGGTAGATCTAAACCGTGCAATGAACAGATGCAATGATGGTCAACGCATTCAACTTCCAAAAGTATAAGTTTCCCATTTAAACAATCTAAATATCAGCAATTGACGAAATTATCTGCAACCATGCAAAAGAAAGAACAACACACTAGCAAGAAGACAAGAAAAAAAGGAAATTTAAATTTTAAACACCATTACTAATTCCCTACAGCTTTAATGCATATAAAGCCAAATCCTAGTCACAACTGACTACGAAATTGCCTGCAACTGGAGCACATGAACAGATCAGCTTAACTAATTATCAATAAACACAACGATGAGCTATGCACATCATACTTAATGCATGTTGAAGTGATTAAACAAGATGGTTGTTAAGTTTTCATTCTGAGAAATAACAGAGCTTACAATTATGGAACCTACGTGAAATAAGAGGAAGCTTCAAATGGATTAAGAGCATTTTTGGTGTCTTATAATCAAGTTCAGCAGTGGCTCATTGACATGATCTCGGACCCAACCTGCTAACAGTTAAAATAAAATTCCAACACTGTTCCAACATGTTTTCACTCCATCTGTTTTCTTATATTTCAATCAGGCTAACAATTCAAAAAAAAAATCCAACACTTACGTGTGATACTTTTTGGGTTTCGCATAAAAATTCTGTTTCTAAACTGCATGAAGCGTACAAGGCACATGATTTACCACAATCACCTTCCCGTAGAGCCTAAAGGTTGACTTTAGCGACAACAAATGCACAGAAAAGGTGGATGAGAAATACCTTCTTTTCATCAATGTTCTACACAAGTATAATCCTCAAAACTTTCTTTGGTTTCAAAAACTCTGTTCATCATTGCATGCATGAGTACGCTTTATAATTTGATCTTAAGGAACAGTTCCATATTAATTAGTTCTACATGAAGATTAAGACCCTTATTATGCGTCCAAACTTGAACCTAAAATGTAGGCACTTTACCTGCCATAAATCTAATTTTGAATAGAATTTCAGGAACTGAGTCTGCAAATGCACCACTCGTACAGAATTAAAGAAATTGAAATATCAAGTGTTTAATGTTAAATTTGATGATGCCAAATGGAATAAATTATGAGATACAAGATTGTAGACCTTGGATTTCAAAGTAATCATTACATCAATAAACCTTCTCTGTAGACATCGTAAAATTGTCAATGACATTTTTATTCAATCTGCTAAAATGTAAGAAAGCATCTCAATTTCACAGTTCACGGCACCATCACCCAGTAACAGATAGGTGATTTCTTAACTTTCAAATCATATGCAAAACGATAAAAAATTTAGCGAAAATTAGTTAAAGTAAGCATAATCAAACTCCAACAGTTGGTGAAAGGCAAATTCGATCCAAAAAGGAAAATCACATGAAAAAGAATAACGGTGAGAAATTGAGGGAGATAAGAACAGAATTAGCTCACCTCCACTCGCCGTCGTCATATGGAGAGTAATCAATATCATCTTTTCTAACACAATTGAACATCAAAGCCGCAATAGATGCAAATATTCCTATTAAAAAAACATGTAAACATCGAAAAATATACAATTAAAACGAAACAGGAAGAGAGAGATTAAGGTGTACCAGGCAAATAATGAACGAAAGATACAGTGACGGAGCTGCAAACGACGGCGTCGACCCAGAACCACCAGCCAGCTCCGAATACGGCGCCCGCGACACCGGGGCCGAATATCGCCCACAGCTCGCCTAAATCCATTCGATATTTTTTGGTAATCAATTAACCAATTGTGCAGAATAAAATAACGAATCGAAAATTTTCATCAAGTATAGGCTATTGTGAACTGTTTATTTACCCCGCGCTCTCTCTTTCGCTCTACCTCTTTACTACCTTCCTTCCTCTCGGATGCGTACATTGCTGTACTTTGCCTTTCCTTCTCTTTCTTTCCCTCTTTTTTTAGGCTTAAGTGTACCATTACTTTCAATAATTATATTATTCGTACGAATTATTTGTATTTAGTTACTTCTAAAATATTTTTTTATATTTTATTTTTTAGAGTTTAAATCTTATTTTATTTATCA